GAATTGACCTAGTCCATAGTTATAGCTCAAATATGGTACTGGCAACAGAAATCGCGAATATTCTGATAATGGCAAGTACTTCTGTGAGCACAGGATAGTGTGACAGCAGCACCGCAGAAGTATGGTGCGTACATAATGAGGTGAGCAGCGGAGAATAGCATGAGATAACCACTGGAGCTCATAGAGAGAAACCCTCCATGTAACTTCCTGAAAATGATACTTTGCTGATTCTTGGTAAAACTCAGACTTCTAAATTTGATTGGTATCCCCCAAAATATAATTGAAAATGTATGTAAAAATTAAAACTGAAAAGGCACTGAGTGTCTTGCAATTTCAGATTTTACATTTAATTTCAAATAGAGGTCCTCAGATTAACACATTTTTAAACAGTGTCGATTTAATAACTGTAGCCACTTTACATTATTGAATCACAAATCTTTTATTTATATAACAGTAACGCATTTCAAGCTACTTACTCTTCAGTATTTTGGATTGTGCAAGCGTTTCTGGCTGAGACTGCAATTGGTCCCCTGGTGAAAAGGGAAAACATAGCTTTCGTCCACCTCAACTATACATCTTTCATATGAATGTTTATGTCATATTATGAATATCCAGCCTATAACGAAGCAGGAACAGCAGACACCAGCGTCCACTGACGCCCATGGTGAGGTTATTCACTTATAGAGCACTGGTTGAGTAGTTCATACCGTGTGGCTGATTTTACTTTTTCTTACCTCCAGACTCCTGGCTCACTGGAGCCTACTCAACTTTGCAAGGTTTTCATGCTACTCTTTTCCATCTGCATGCGCTCTGACTATCCACAAAATCTAAGCCTAATTTGTGTATTTGATTTGTCTAACTTCTCTCATCTTGGCTTCCTTTGTCTGATATTATTTGCCACTTTCATCTCATATTCTCCACTGAATACTTTATTGCTCGTATTTCTCACCTTTACCTCAACCTTACAAAAATCTTTACCTTGAGCCCTCTTGTGGCACAATGTCCCTACCCCTAGACTGGGAGACCCAAGTTCACATCTGTGTGAACATCTCACATCTCACAGTTCTGAGGAAGGGTCACCGGACCTGAAACGTTAACTCTGTTTTCTCCTCCACAGATGCTGCCAGACGTGCTGAGCTTTTCCAGCAACTTTTGTTTTTGTTCCTGACTTACAGCATCCGCAGTTCTTTTGGTTTTTATCTGAAATATTAAGTTGTTGTCATATTTCTGCCAGATTGCCAAGCGATTAGAATTTTACTTCAGGTGTTCAGCATTTGCAGTATTGTTTCTTTGTTTGTTCTAGATATCCAGTCTGGTTTCAAAGCACATGAATAAATGCCTTTTTGAAACTCTAAGAAAAAGACATACCTTATTTACTGGTTTAATTATCACTTCAAAACAATTAGAGATTAACAAAGCACAAATCCAAAAAATTCCAAAGAAAGGGCATAGTGGACTTGAAATATTAACTTTCTCTCTCCACAGATGCTGCTAGACTTGCTGAGTTTCTTGAGCATTTTCTATTTTTATTAAAAATAATATGGAGGAGCGGAAGTAGACCACTCGCTCATTGAGTCTGCCCTGCCATTCAATGAGATAATGGCTGATCTGTTACTCCTTACCTCGACTTTCCTGCCTTTTCCCCACAACCCTTGATTTCCTCACTGATTAAAAATCTGTCTGAGCCTCCACTATACTTAATGACCCAATCTCAATAGTCCTTTGTGGTAAAGAATTCCACAGATTCAATACCGTCAGAGTCATAGAGTTGTATAACATTGAAACAGACCCTTCAGTCCAACTCCTCCATGCCAATCAGATATCCTAAATTAATCTAGTCCCATTTGCCAGCATTTGGCCCATATCCCTTTAAACCCTTCCTATTCAAGAAGAAATTCCTTCTCATCTGTCTTAAATGTGTGACCACTTTTTCTGAGATTATGCCCTCTGGTCCTAGACTCTCCCATGAGGGGAAAGAACATTTAAACATTTACCCTGTCAAGTCTCTTAAGAATTTTTATGTTTCAATAATCTCACATCTTTCTTCTAAATTCCCCAATTTGCATTAGCTGAACATTGCCAACATTGTATACAGTGGTATGAAGCATTTTGAGTTAGTTGGTTAAATTAGCTATAATATTTAGGTTTACGTATAACATGGCTTGAAAATGTTCAAACTTCCTGAATTTGAATGAAGTGCTTTAATACAAACAAAAATCACAATTTCAATTATGTGACTTTAAATGTCAGGAGATCATTTACTAACCTGTGTCTTAAGGTATGCCTCTCACCCTTTCTGGAGGTACTCGGCTCTTCAGGAGAGAAAGGATAATTTGAAACTCTTGCACTTCCCAGCAATTAGTCATCATTCTCTCTGGGTTCATTTTTTGTTAATAATTAACAGGACCCATGAATGGCATTTTCCCACAGAAGTAATTACTGCATTTTCGATATGCATTTGACACATACAAGCAATTAGTCAATGTCAAAATCTAAAGACAATCTTTTTTGCATTTTCAAACGGTCTGTTCTGGATACAGTTAGTTGTACAGAGCAAGTTGTACAGAGGTGTTCTGAGGAAGGGTCAGCAGACCTGAAACGTTAACTCTGTCTTTTCCTTCATAGATGCTGCCAGACCTGCTGAGATTTTCCAGCAACTTTGTTTTTGTTAGTTGTACAGGATTGTGTTACGAAAGGCAGCTTTGAGGATGAACCGGTTTTCACCTATATTATCTCCTCTGAAGTGGTTAAATGAGAGCTGTAGTCTATTGTATTTATAATCAATATTTACCTCAGGCAACAACTGCATTTATATAACAATCTTAAAGCATTCTAGGTACTTTCCAGAAGTGTTATCAATCAAAATTTGACCGAAATACACAAGGAAATATTGGGATTGGAAAGATGAGAGACAGCACCTAAAAGAATAAACAGGATAGGATTGCAACAGTAATAAATACTGTAGGATCTAAATGTCCATACCGAACTTTTGAAATTATTTAAAAATTTCAAAACATCTTTGTTCTATGCTGCTGGATCATTGTTTGGTAACGATACTTACAAATGAATGTCTCACATGAAATTTCCCATTATACATTCTATACATAAATCTACACCAGAGTCAGAAGTCCTATTGATAGCATGTTGTTCTGTAGTACCCTTTGATTTGTTGCTACGTATGACACAGTGAACTGCTGGAGATTAAAGGCATCATGATTGCGGCCAGGATAACATGGGTGCCTGATGCTGCCTGTGACCATATATACACTCTGCATACCAGCTCCACATTGAAGGAGTGGATTTACTTTTCTCTAAGGTGCACTGAGGCTGTGTGTCACTTTGCTTGCTGTTATCTGGAATGAGAGAATGAATCATAGTCAACACCCTCTCAGACAGGGTCAATGACCTCCATTTTGCAACGCTGGATAGCAAACTATTGCCTGCTCCAGACTGGAAGGAGCCTGACGCATGAAAGGTCATGGGCATGGTCACCTCCACAGCCACTGGCAATAGGGTCTTTGCCCTGCTCTGAGGTTGCACTTGGCTGCAGATTTTAGTGGAGGACATCCGACATACTGTTCCAGGTACAAGTTTGTTCCCTTGATGCCAAGGATAGGTATGTTCTTTGGCACAAAGTCCTTCTCTCTCCTGACACCTCGATCCATTTGCCTATGTCTAACAGTTCGCACGTCCAGCAGTTTGAAAGTATATGTCCTCTGCTCATTGTTTGAGCTGTGCTTTGGTCAAACAGGCGTATCTACCACTGCACCAATTTCTGGGGACAAATTGTGCACAATCCTTGAAGTCAGGACCTCTCTGCAATTTAGCAACTTTAAAGAACTCTAGTAAGCATCAAACATTTATAGGTTTCTACATACTTTTAATCAACCCATTTGTACACTTTACAACACCGCTCTGGAACAGGTAGAATTTCCAACACTACCACTGCACCACAACAGCCCTAATGTACAGGTTTCCAAATGCTGTTGCCAGAATTGTATCAGTAATTACATAGAAAGCAACACTTAACCCCTTCCCCCTTGCCAAAGGACCTGTTCCTTGTGTTTCAACTTTGTAAATAGCATGAACAGATAATTGGATTAATTTTGCAATATATTGGAACAATGTATAATTCTAAGCTTTCTGGTACAAAATGATCAGCAGAAGACTCTTAAGACATATGAAAAGATTAGAATCAAAGAAATGTTTTGTGTCCTTATTTCATAAAGCATTGCGATCATCCTTGTTTGAAAAGGTTTTCTTTCAAAGCAAAATACTTTGTGCTGTACCAGAGTCGACTACAGCAGTGTTTCATTGTTCAATTAATTTATCAATAAAACAGAAAATGCTAAAAATATTTAGCAACTTGGACAGTATCCATGAAGAGAAAACTTTCCTCATCTAGTATTGAAGTGTTACAAACTCCTGGTACCAAAGTGGGAAAAATCAGATTGCTGCTATGTCCTCATTGTTGCAGAGACCAATACAGATTATGATAATAAGAATGGTCTGTGGAGTAGAAATGTTGTATAAATATCTAGAATATATTAATTATGTGATTTAAGTAAACATTTGGTTGGCGGGGTTGGAAGCCTGACACACTGGGTTATAAATTTAGAAAATGGGACTAAAAGGCCCACCAACTAGAGGTAAGAAGTAACCTTTTGAAAACAAATGTGTTTATCAGGTAAAACAGAAAGCAACTAGGATGGGAGGTCAAAAGGTAGAGATAATTTTAGTATTGCGAGATTGTGCAGCAGGTTTTAAAAAAAAGATAATAACAGTTTAACAAAAGCGGACATTCTTGAGAGTTAATTGATTCAATTATATATTACATATTGCACTAGTGGTAATAGTTAACTTTGTGTTTTTCTTCTTCAGGTTCTTTTCAATGGCTTATACTTTTTTCTTGAAAAATAGGGAGATAAGGAATCGAAAGGTGGTAAATCTATGCAAAGCCACTTATCACTGGATTAAATAAGCTAGCAAAGTTATTTTATTTATCAAGGTTTTATTGTATAGTACAAAATGACAAACATAGGCTTTTCACAGCAGACAAACAATACTAATCTGGTCACAGTTTGAGAGGGAAGTCTACATTACTTTCAATTATTTCAACTGAATCAAGAACAATTTCAAAAGTACATTAAGAAATTTTAGATATACATATTCCTATAAAAGGAAAACTGTAGAGAAACTGGATAATGAATCAAGATTACTGAGGTACTGAGTTAAGTATCAAATCAGACTGATCATGTGCTGTTATTCTGCATCAACAGGTTGTGACCCACATCTATTTCACACACAGGATGTGTCCACACTTTTTACAAGTGTATTCAGTTACTGTGTAGTTAGCTTTCTGCAACCTGCATGTGAAAGTCAAGGATGCAATTACAGTACATGCACAAAATAGCCACGTAGAAAAATCTTAGGCAAAAGAAGAAATAGAAGAAATTGTTGTGGTTGGCTGTATCGAAACATTAAAATGTTACAATGCATTTATCACTTTGGATGGATATGAATAGTAATTTCTGGAATTTGAAGAAGCTTTCAGAAACTTCAGTAGGGAGAAGTATTTCATGTAATGCACTTTTTTTTAGAAGTCAAATAGCAAGATCTAAGTTATTTCTCAGCATAACATTTACCACACCTCCAATACGCTTTCATTCAACTTTGTGTTACTTTGACAATTGACAGATGAAAATAAATAGGTTTAAAAAAAGTCTTAGAAATCTTTGAAAATGGAGAATCACCATAAGTCAACTGAGAACTTTTACTTTTGAAACAAATGACCACCATAGATGGCACCGAGTTCCTGAAATATTTTCTCACAATTGAAGTGCCAGTTATTTTGCACTCAGTTAAGTTCTTATAAAAACAATTCTCTATAACCTCCCTCCCCAACAACATTCATCCAGACTTCTGCCACTCACAACCAGCTATTAGCTGGCATACAAATATGACTGTCATTCTCGCACCCTCAATTTTCATTTGAAGGGTAGCAGTGATTAAGGTCAGCAAATACTGAAAACATTACCACTAATGGCAATTTCAAAAATGCATTATTTCATGTCAGACAAAATTTCACAGCCTGCAGTCTCTCAATTCCAAATGTACACAAATTATCATGGATGAAACATTTCTTGCATTTTCTTCATATTTACTACTTTTATTCAAAATCATTTCAGATATTAGACAAATCTTTTTCAGATTTTCCTTTGATCGATCCATGGTCAAGAAGCCATGTACACATTCCCCTCCATCATCTGTGCTGCTCATTCAAAAACGAAAGGTGTTATTTGCAATGAACAAACAGAACAGGTGAGTACGACATATTCATGAACTTTGTTAGCTTCTTTCAAATGACAGTGTTCTCTTTTCTCCCCCCAATTCATGCACACAATTTGATATTTAGATCAGCTATGTCCTCTACGAAAGCAAAGTTCCTACTCTAATCATTGCAAGGTACCACTGCTTTAAAAGTAGCTACATCTGAAAAACAAAATGGTCTCTCACACAACCAACACTGCAATTATTTCCAATAAGTTAATAAATTTCAAATATTTCTAGTTATAGATAGTATAATGACACGATTTGCATTTTCATAGAACTCATTCACATTGGCAATGGACTGAGAATCTTTCACAACAATGGACAGCACTCAAGTGTCAAAATCATAAGATAAAATTCACTATAAGGCAATAATGAAGATTATAAGAAACATGTAAAGTGCCTGCTTTCATCACTGTACTGGGCTTTCACTTCTTGGACTCTGAGCGCAACACTGTAGGCACATTATTACAGACCTGTGCAGGCTGGACTTAACAATTCACAATGACATATATTTCTGCATTTAAACAAAATTCTCAACACTTCTAACTATTTTGAAGGTTTCAAAAGGGCATTAATATGTAACACAGTAATCTAAATATGTTGGGTCAACTGATAACTGTGCAAAACATTAACTACATTGTAATCATCTTATTTTCAAAATAGTTCACAATGTATTAAAACACTACAATAAAATGATAGTTACATCACAATGAAATGTGCATTATATGAAGACAGAAATGCTCTGAACAAAATGGACTCACTAATAGCTCAATGTGGAATAAAATGTTTTGAAGTCTTCCTAAAGGTCATGGTGCAAATGTGGAAAAGAATACATAATGCAGCAAACTGCTCATCTCAATAAGAAGTATTGAAAATGTCAAATTTGAGAAAACTGAGACATGTTATAATGAGAAACGTTTGCTACTGTACCTACTTACACAAATCAGAGAAGTGCCATTAAAACTGATCGTGATAAAATATCTATGTAACAGAATGATATTTCTCTTGGTTTGATGGGCGGCTGATGAACAAAGCACTCTCAGTGGAAGTATAAAATACTGTGCAATATAAAACTCATTTCTGGAAATCAGCCTGGGCAGATCTGCAAAAGATGAATGTCCTTGATAGTTCTTTAAATGTCCTGAATAGAAACTTTTACAGGCACAGAATGTTGTTATCCATTACAACCTTATAAAGTGTAGTGTAGACTTCGCCAGCTACATGACCACAAAAATAAATATATTTCACCATCTAGTGGTTGCTTCCTAGATTGCAGCAGGGTGCTTCTTTCTGGCAACCTAGGCAGTCCAGGAAATCTACAACATACAAACTACAGGAGTTTTAACATTACAGCATGAGCCTTATAACTTATATTTACAAAGAAACATCAAAAATATTTTACCACTATTTTTCTTTACAACAGGAATTTTTTTATACATTTCAGACTTTTAGTGCTGAGCTGTAGGCAAAGCCACAGTCCGAGAGTAATAGAGGGCAGTCACATACAAGGAATGTTGCAATTTACGAATGTGCAACTGGTTGTCCAAATACTGGGTCCTTATACTATCTCATAGTGAAGTCACATACATGCATGGCAGCAGTGTCTAATCCATTTACACTTTCTCCAGTCCAGCTATTATATAAAAAGGCATATGTAGATTAGTCCAAGACGAATCTGCACAAATGGCAGTTGTGTGTTTTCAACTTTAAACGTAAAAATATAGTCATTGTAGATCAAACACATTTAAGCCAGTCACATTTTACCTGGAGCATAAGTTATCGGTAGGGAATACATACATATCACTAGTCCTCCTTAACGTACAAATTTTGTTCTTTAAAATATTGAAAAGAAAACTTCCACACTTTTATAAAATTTGATTCTTTTCAAGAACATAACTAGTAACAATAAGCAATGAATGTTGTTTTAAAAATATACACATAGTTTAAACGTCTCTGAAAAATGCACATTTTACTTTTAAAAAATCCAAAATTAGCAATCTGCTGTACCGTATTTCCTCCATCTCTAGTGAGAAGTCTTGATTCATTGGTAGGTAATTTCACAGTTGCCAACTGCCTATCGAGTACTTCACCCAAGTGAGAAGGTGTAAACTTAGATAAGCAAGGTATTGGTTGTGAGAGGTTTGGCCCCACTTCCTCACTCGACCTCTGCACTTCCATTAAGGATCACATAGAAATCAAAAGTAGAAACCCTCACTGATTTCAGCCACCTAACCCATGGGTACTTCGCTTCAATTGCTTCCCTACTTGTTACCAGATGAGTACATAGCATCCTCCTAATCTGTTTGGTTACTCAATGGATCAATTTAGTATGTTATTGGGAGATGCAGATCAATTTTTAAACTGGACAACAATCTTAGCTTTTGATTGATATATGCACTTTGTCTACATGCATACTAAGAACAGTACAAAAGGAAAACTAAGTCACATGGAGGATATGACAAGTAGCACATGGGCAGAACAAGTTTTGATACCGATTATCTCAAATGCAGTCCTCCCCAAAAACTCCATTTCGAGCTTTAGTCCTTTTATACGGAGTTGGACCAAATGCTAAAGACTGTTTCCAACGTCTGAAATTTTAAAACATTGAAAATTTCTACACACATATAAATCAAAAGTACAATTGAAAAATTGTCAGAACATAGGAATTCAGCTTCCCTTTGTAAAACCAAAGCAAAAATTGCAAGATTGGGTGGATTTTGGGTTCAGTTTGTGCTCATCTTGTGGAGTCAGTTTTTTTTTTGACAACCAATGATGAAGTATTAAGGAGAGATAGCAAAGGGATTTCACATCAAGACAAAATAACAGAGGATGATACAGTAGCAGCAGCAGGACAGATTTTTTCTCTTTTAAAACACACTTATTACAGTTTCTTTCATTACACAGCACTTTTGTTTCAATTAATATAAATATAGAGTAAGTGCACATTTTACAATGCACCACATGCTTTGCAACATACATGACTTCTCCATGTCTTCCTGGCTACAGTACAAGAACTGCCCAAGATGCTTTGAAAAGGAAAATATCAGCCGACACCTCATTTTTCTGAAGCGCACCCCCTTCTAACATCCTGAACTGCACACCTGACTCCAAATTCCTAGTTCCCTCCCTGGCTGATTCTCCCCTGAGATCCTAAGTAAAATAGGTATGGGGAGTTGGATCATCAGCCACTGGGATTCAAACACCTGAGGGTAAGATCTTTGCAACTAAGCTAATTGGTTGCTGTTCATAATGCCCATTGTTAACAGTATGAACATCCTTGTTTTCGGCTATTGAACTGATGAACAACTTCTATTTAATCCATCTGAATTCTGACTATACAAATACACAGACTGAAATTTAGAAAACACTGGTCTCTTCACAGGTTTAAAACCAATTTTAGTTTGAACAAGATATACTTAGGCTGGTGTTATGTTTAATAATATTCATCAGACCAGTGAAGGGATTAAATGTCATTCACAAATAATTAGTGGCTTGCATGAATTAAAATACATAATTGAAAATGCACAGATACTATGTTAATTTCTAATCTTATAATTCAGTCTATTAATGACAAGGAGGATCAGTTGCTATATAATAGAGCAAGGCAGATATGATGCAGCAACCAACCAAATACCCAGTTATTTTGCCATTAGAAACTGTTTCAATGTCACAATATTAAAGGGTTATATTGCATTGGAAGTCTACCTTCCTGTAGAATATTCTCACAAAAATACATCTGTTATTTGTTTAGGCTATACTACACAGAACAAGAATAAAGTTTCCATTTTCTCTCAATAAAATACACCATGGGCTGTGAGTTATTGCTGCTTCTAGCCATTGCATGAATACCTACAACTTTATTAATGAATTTGTTGTTTTTTTTCTTTTTACATAGAGTATTTGAAGTTTGTGGAAACTGTAAATATCCATGGTCAGTTTCAGAAATACAAACTTGGCAAAGCTTGCATACAATTAAGCCAATCAAACTCAAATCTATTAACTTTTTTTTTTCGTAATTCTGCCCAATTGTCTCCCCTGAATGATTCTGAACTGAATGGTTCAACACCTCAGCTGGCTGTATGGAATTGACCATTTGTAGTACTTTTCTTCCAAAGTTAGTCAGATTTGTTGCTATTTAACTGATATTATGGACTTAATGATGTGATTATGATTGCAGCTCCACAATAAAAGGAAATAACTTACTGTTGGTTACGATGCAATTAAGATGCAAACATGTTCACTCCCTGCTCTGAATTATTTGTCTCACTCCACAACCTCCAAGCAATAAATTAGGTTGGACAAAAATAACAGTTGCCATTTGGCCATCGTGCTAGAAGATTCATTTAAAAAAAACATAAAATCTTTGGGGGAGCCAGACGTTTTTGCCATAACCATATGACAGGTTTAAAGAGATGCAGATGGGAAGTCCATGGCACAAGTAGAAAATAAGAGCAAATAACAAAGCAAAAAAAAAAATCACAGGAATGTGTACATAGAGTGAATGAGTAAATAATGCAAAGGTAAAATGGTAAGAAACATAAAACAACCATCATCTATCAATAGAGATAAATCTTTTAATACAATAATTTTCCTTGGAGCTGCACCACCGTTTCAATTCCATCAATTTTAAAGCAGCTCTGAAAATAACGAATAGGGAAAGTAAGTGACAAAGTCAGATCAGTCAGTTTTAAATATTATGTAAATTAGAAAAGTATGCAGAAGGGGCCCATTTATTAAATTTATGATTTTTCCTCAGTCAGTTCTAATCATTAATCAGAAGAATGGTTAGGTTTGTGTGCCCAGTGGCTCTTCCTGGATGGGAAATAAAATTCCAATACTTTGGCAGCTAGAAACATTATCGTCCCAAACTTACAAACAACTGCAACAAAAAAATTCTGCATTTCTATGTAATTAATGACCTTAAAATGAGATTTCACATTTCAACAATGCACCTCCCTGTGATTTGCTGCTGAATACTCAAATACAGGGAGCAGAGATCCTGCAGAATCTGGCTAAAAAGAGGAATTTCATGCCAAAGAGACAACAGGCGTACTTCACAGATGGTAAAATACAAAGACAATATACCATAAACTTTCCACAGATGTCAAGTGTTAGATCACATCCATTCTTTAAGGAGCACAAGTTTATAGATAGTAGAAGAACACTACTCAGATGCTGGCACAGAAGTGAAAAATAAAAAGTCACAGAGGAATCAGGTCATTCAGAAAATATCAAGTTTCATTCCAACAGCAAATGCTGCTTTTTAGGACAGAGACTCCATTACAGGCGTGAAGCACAAGCTGCCCGCTATAGGCCCTGGGGCACTTTTAAAGTTTCAATGTGCCAGCGAGTGGTAAATTTGGACATTGTTGAACATTATGCATGTTTGCATATCAACACTTCAGAATTTTTGGTTTGCCTTATCCTTATTCCCATACCATATTTTTACAGATGTCACAACTCATCTATGTAGTAACAATGCAAGTTTGAATTCATTAGAATACTGTTTGAAATAAGTGGTTGTTAGAATATGGACATTTCTAACAATTACAGAAAACTTGTCCAATACAATAAAAAAGAATGACCCTGAGAACATTCCAATTCTATACTCTTTGTATTTTATACAGGCATCAAAGATTACAATGGCCACAGAAGTGACCATTTCAGACATATTAAACTGCAGCACAACTTAACATTTAAAGAACTTTCCTACAAAACTTGTTTGTCGTTACGGTCAATCTCGGTTTTTTTCATTCCTGCAAGAGGATTTTATCAAAGTACTTTTCTAAGCAACAGCAGAACTTTGGTTTAGTTTAATTTATGCTCCTAGAAATTAAAGGACCTCTTCCCAATAAATATAGTGGGACTCTCGAGGGGGATTCAAGATTTGTGTTAAAACATCTTTTAATACTCGTTCACACAGAGCTCACAACATGAATTTCTCTTACACAATAAATGCAACAAATTTATTTTCTCAAATTTTGTCTCATCAGATTGGCTTTTATGGTGCTCGGAGCTATAAATGTTTGCCTTTAATGGCAGAATGCATAGTTTGTGTGGGAACAATTGTCCTGGAATTATAACATGCTCCCTGGAACACAATTAAGAAAAGTAACAATAAAAATGCAAAGGTTTGTCAAGTACTCTGCCATAGACATGATAGAGGGTTTCATGCAGGTCTGTGCCTCCTCAGTGTTAGACCAGGATTTCAATTAATAGTTGATTTAAATAAAAAGTAAAACAAAGGAGCCTGCTGTAAAATAACAGCACAAATATACAATTTTTACTTCATTGCAAAATCTAAATTTTAAGAACTCAAACAGCTCTTGTTTTGGAGCAGGGAGTAACTTAATTGTACATTATATTGCAAATGAGACTGTACAACTTGAACTACTTAAATATTTATTAAAATTTAAAGTGAATCACAATTTCAAGGCAGTGAACTTTGGTGTTTACTCAGGAAAGGAGATGAACTAAGGCAGAACCTATCACTGGTAGGTCAGACAATAGAATTTTCATTCTTCTCCCTAACAAATCATAGCATTGTTACTTCCGAAAAGTATTAATGGCCTGATAATTTACTATAGTGACAAACACTGGCCAGGTCACTGGAACAACTCAAATGCTATTTTTGAAATAATTTCAATGGGACCCTTTACGTACATCTGAATGGTTTAATTTTTCAACAGGAATATGGCCATTTCAGCAACACAACACTGCCTCAATATCATACTGACGTTGCAGTCCAGTTATGAGCTTTAGATCTAGAATGGAGTTTGAATGCTGACTGGACATATTGCCACAACTCAGCCAGGGATTGGCACTATTAAACCAAAAGAAAATTTCTTCATTCAAGGATCTAAGCTTTACTGCATGCATTTATTGTTACAGTCCTCAGACTGCCAGCACATGACTGTGACAAAAGAATAAAGGCTACTGACATTCAAACTAAGTTAGACTGAATAATAAATAGTTCTGAATGTTCAGGGATGTACAGTATTTAAAAAAATAATAAGTGAATTGGAATAAAGCACTTTCTGATAAGGAAACTGCCACAAATGTTAAAAAATTCTTATTTTGACCACTTGGTGAGTTGTATGCAAAATGAGGTACAGGGTGACTCTTATGGGTTATTTAAAAATATTGAATAGTAAATGACAACATACTATTAGTTCTTTTAACATTAGGTGGGGCCATTGGTGCAACATAAGTAAGACAAAGTGTGCAACAGTTTAAGGTGACAAGTCTTTAGCTTGGCTGGATGGCCAAGTGATCTTATGTCAACTAAGATTTTCAGCAATATTTCAAACAAAATGTAACTCAAATGGCTTTAACTCAAATGTGCAATCGCCTGCAGCTTGCTTAATGAACATACAGGATTGTTTTTAAAGTAACGCTGATATAGTACAAGAGAAAACTAGCAATGTTTGAGTGCACAGAATCTTTTCAGTGCAAGATAGTTAAAATTTTGTTTTATTAAATGTTACATTATTAAAAAATCCTAGAGGCAAAGGTACAGCAGCCCCCCAAAACCCAAACGTTTTTACGTCACTGTCTACGTAAGTTGCAACTCAACTGTAGCGCATGGAAAAATCGCTTCACTACATGGCAATGCTTAACAAAAGATAGTGCAGAAACCTGTTTCAATTTTATTGCATGGAAAAGGTTTTCAATCACAAAACATATTGGGTTAATCACCGTTTCATTCTAGCATTCTAGTCCCATAGATAGTTAGGATCAGAATCTGTGACAAACCAAACATGTTTCCAAAAATGAAACCATTCTAAGCATTTAACTTAATGACCAATTAACCAGCCAGCAGCAAGATGGATAAAGCAGTGAATGAATTCCAATTGGACCATGGCTTGGATATTTAGTTTCTAAATTGCTTTTTAGAAAGAAGCTGGTGAATGTCAGCTATTGAAAGATATTCGAACTTTATTTGGGGGAGTTGTAAGGGGAGGGGGTGGTGTGTAAAAGAAATTCCAAATTTCTACAATCCTTACGTTCATGGAAATACAAATCCCTTCTGGTCCATGCAGTACCCTTCCATTAACACTAGATGTACAGCAAAATATTTACCACAAACCATCATCTTGTGGCATTAATTCAACACAGCCACTGCCACACATTTTGGTATAAGGAGTCCCTGGGACCCAGTTTCAACAATCCCTAGTACTAGTCTTGTTCTAGTGATTGGATAATATGTGCCCTCTCCTGGCACCCAAATCATTATTTTGTATCAGTTCAAAATAGTTCAAGGTTGGTGCACCTTTAGTTGTTGGATCCAAAACGGGGACAGATAAACAGCTGATATGAAATAGGGTTTCATTAAATTGAATAGTTCATGTTTTCCCAAACCTTATATGAACTTAGCTTTTCCATGTTTATCTTTCTTAGTCATGAAAGTAGCTTCTTTCACCAATAAGGTGGTTTGGTTTAATCAAAGATATAATTAGAAATCGGTCACACACAAAATGCACACACACCCTTGTCTAAAAAGAACACTGATTAGCTTCTTAGAGATGCAGGAAATGACTGGAGTTGGATTTTAAACGTTGTGCACAATTAAAAAAATGATCATGTCTATGACTAGAATAAATGTCATGAATGAGACTTGCAGGTGATATTGTTATGAATCCAATTTCACAGACAAGACGAGTACAAAACTGAATAGGTGAAAAAGGTTGCTCTGTAAAGTGTGAGGAAAAATACCTCTCCATGTACCATCCAAAAAGGGTCAGATCCTATCCATGTATCTGGGCCCAAAAATAAATGGTTCTTTCCTCTCAAGAAACAAATACACACTGTAAATAAATAGAAGACATCACTGATGTCATGTCAAAAATTAGATTTCCAGTAACTTTTAAAGTAAAATATAAATAAAATATTCTGCGAGACGCCTAGCTCTCACTGAGATAACGATTCCGAATGAATAGTTGCAGGGTGGTGCAATGTGTGAGCACTGAGCAAGCTGTTCACATCTCCAACATCAATACTTCCAAAATCCGTCACAGCAACAGCCATTTTTGCCTGAGCAATGTGTGAAGTGTGGTTTTCAAAATCCACACTGCCAGGGTTATCAGGCAGCCCGGGATTGAATGTTTTCGGCAGAGAGAAATCCATCTTCAATTTTTTTGTGGACATCTCCAATGCTGGTCTATCCAAAATGACTTGATCCAGTTCCAGCTGGAAAAACCCCGATTCTGCTTGACTTAAGGTAACAGTATCACAGTCGTGAGTGGGTGTAACTCTTCCTTGGTCACAGATGGGCTCCAGCGAACAACTAGTTTCAGATTGGTTCACTGGAGAACTGCAGTACTCAAACATCTGGCTGTTACCACTCATGGTGCAAACTGCAATTTCGACATCTTGCTGTTCTGTAACAAAATGTGGTGGGTTGGTAGGGAATAAGTATCAAAAACAAATCAACTCAATAATCTGACATGATGAATATCTGATCATCAACATATATGAACTTACTCTTAAGGGGAAAACCAGTAGTTGTAACATATCTGAATTTCCACAAGGCATTTGATAAGGTGCCACACAGAAGGTTAATAGGCAAGATAAGGGCTTGTGGATTTGGAATAATGTATTAGCATGAATAGAAGATTAGTTTATGGAGCAAACAGTCAGTATAAATGAGGCATCTGAAATTTGCAGGATGGGACTAGTGGAGTGCTTAAAGGGCTAATATTGGAACCTCAGCTATTTATAATCCATATTAATAACATAGGCAAAGTGACAGAGTCACATATCTAAATTTGTAGATGGCACAAAGCTAATTGGAAACCAGAGTTGTGTGCAGGACACAAAGAGGAGTCAAACAGCTATAGAGAGGTTAAATGAGTAGTCAACAGGATGGCAGATGGAATGTAATATGGGGAATTGTAAACTGATTCACTTTGGTGTAAGAATAGAAAAGCAGAATTTTTTGTTAAAAGCTGTGAAGATTCTACATGTTGATGTTCCATCAAACTTTAGAGTGCTCATGCAAGCAGGTATAGCAAGCAAATTAGAAAGGTGAATGACATGTTGGCCTTCATTGTACAAGAACTGTATTACAGGAATAAAGAAGTATCCCTCCAATTGTACAGGGCTTTGTGTGTAGTTTTGATCTCCACATGTAAAATAAGACATATTTGCATTGGAGCCGTACAGCGAAGGTTGGTCTCTAGGATGGCTAAGAGGCTGAGTAAACCGATCCTGCATTCTCTGCAGTTTGGAAGAGTTAATATGTAAGATTCTGAAGAGGCTTGACAGGGCACTGAGGTCATTTCCACAGGCTGGAGAATCTAGAACACAGTGTCAGAGTCTAAGCATAAGGGGTCAATCATTGAGGATTGAGATGAGCAGAAACCGTTTCACTCAAAAGGATTGTGAATCTTTTGAATTCTCCAGAAAGCTCTGAATGCTCCAGTGTTAACTATATTTAAGATTGGGATTAACAGAGTGTTAGTTTCTCAGGGAATCAAGGAACAGTGATGACAAAGTGAAGGCAAGTGAATGGTGGAGCAGGTTCAACAGGGCGGATACGGACAAGATGTTTTCTCTTGTGGGAGAATCTAGTCGTGTGGGTCACAGTTTAAAAATAAGTTTAAGACAGCAATAAGGCGAAATCATTTCTCGGAAGGCTGAATGTCATTGGAACTTTCTTCCTCAAAAGGCAACAGATGCAGAACGTTTGAATAGTTTTAGGCAGAGGTGGATAGATTCTTGATAAGCAATGGGGTGAAAGGTTATTGGATGTAGGTGGGAATAGGAAGTAAGCAGATCAGCTATGATCTTACTGAATGGTAGAGTGGGCTTGAGGGGCCAAGGGCCTACTTCTACTTTTAATTTGAATGTACAACATGCGACACGATTGACTCCTACACTTACCTTGTGCTCTATATGCATAGAACTAAGTTAGAAATAACACTCCTTGAGGTGCAACTAACGTAAAGGCCACAAGGACATTTGGTAAAAAGAAATAACAGGTGTAAATTTAAATCTGAGACGTCTACCCAACTGAGGAACAAAAACATGTTGCAATAATAAAATAACCTCAGCCCCCAAGCAGGAAAATCACAAGTACTAACCCACCTCAGATTCCCAATTTAAATCACACATGTGCATTAGATTAAATGACTAATCTGTGTTACAAGATATTGATCAGAATTTTGCACAGGATAGCAAGTCACAGACTGTGAAAACAGAATTGCAAGAAGGAAATTGCAGTAATTACATTTAAACTAGAGGCAAATAAAACAAAAACAAAGACCAGAAGCAACTGACAACACACTTAAAAAATGTAGGTTCTTTCTAAAGTGCTCTACAGTTTCAAGGTGATGAGCTTTACCTACAAATACTCACAATGTGTCTGGGCACAGAGAAATAATTACCTGAGTTCTGGATGAGTAGTGGATCTTGTTCAGAGTCCAGTCTGCTGGTAGTGGAGGAGATGGGTGGCGAGTTTGGAGTTTGGCTGCAACTCTCACCTTCAATGCCATCCAACTCCTGGTCCATGTAATCTCTTACAAAGGCAGAAAATGATGTTAGTATTACATAAATGTGACCTAAACTTTCAAGCTAGAAAGGAACTGACAAACAAGATTTATGCAAGAAGATAAATATATGTAGAAATTATGTCACAATTTGTGAAAGTTCAGTTCATCACTTTTCAATATGACCTCACATAAACTAAAGCCAGATATTGCTCTCACATGATAGTAGGAACTGCAGATGCTGGACAATCTGAGATAACAAGGTGTAGAGCTGGATGAACACAGCAGGCCAAGCAGCATCAGAGG